GCCTCGGCGCGGAGCCCGGCACGGTCCTCGTGGGCTCCCAGCACGGCCTTCTGGAGCTGGGCCCCGCCGGGGACTCGGTGAGAGCTGCCGGGAGCCGCGCCTCCCTGTCGCTGTCAGGCTCGGGGCAGGGCTGTGGCTTCGGGGGAGGGTGCCGGTACCTGTCAGGCTTTGGTCCGCCTGTCGCAAAGCTGGAGTAAAGCGTTGAGACCTCTTGTCTCGTCGGTGCCCGGCGGCAGCTGGCCCCGGGACTGGCGGCGGCTGCCCTCTGACAGGGCTCGCTGCGGGGTGTTAGAGCCTCCTGCTGCTCCTTGACACCCCTTGCTGCCGTTTCTTGGTGCCGAGAAGGCTGGCTGTGAGACTGCGCGGTGATGTGTGTGGTTTGCGGTGCTTTTGGAGTATTAAACCTGCCTCCAAGAGGGTGGGAGTGTTTGGTACGAGTCACTGTTGTCATTTAATCCTAAACAGGGTCCGGTGAACTGTTGTATCAGAAACACAACTCACAAAGCTGAAGTAAACAGGCAAAGGGATAGGGAAAAGTACACGAGGAAGCTTTTGAAACAGTGCTCTAGGGGGCAGAGGGAAAGCATCTCTTTAAAGAAAAAAAAATATTATTGAGACAGGAGTTCCTGTCAGAGCTGGGTTGCAGTGTCGTTTCTGGAAACACACTATGTGACTGAGGCATGTAGTTCCTTCAGTATGTTCATCTCCAAAGTTAGCTGGCAGAAGAGCTTTTGGGCTTTCCTGGGATATCATTTTTAAAGAAAGGTATTTTCTGAAAATCTCTATTGTAGTCTGTTTGTGAAAGCTATCAGCTAAGTTTTTTTTTTTAATTAAAAAGATCTGAAGCCCATCTGAAGTTGCTAAATATGTCAGGTTCCTTTTCTGTTCTTTTGGGAGGTATGTTTCAGTTCTTTATTGGTGTGTTTTTCTCCTCTGACAACCATATGTGTAAAACATTCAGGCAGCTAAGCTAGACAGATCTATCTTTATCTAAACTTTATTGTTTTGCTATACTTTAATACACATCTAAATAGTTTTCCTTTGAATTTTATTTTTTTTTATGCTGTGTCTGTAAAGTCTGAATGACATCTTAAAAGCGTTGGGGCACTTTAAGCAGGTATTCTCCTCTTAATGTTGACACTATATGGAGAAGTATGAAAAGGGGATTGAAAGATGATTAGTGAGACAAATTGGAAGATGTAGTATTGCCATTTATTATTTACTCCTTTATGTGAGTTTTCTCATTTTCTAGCGCATGGGAGGACCCTCACAATTTCCTGTGGATAAGTGAAGATGATTACTGGCATATTGGCTGTTTCCCGGTCCTATTCACATACTCACTTTTGCTGTGTAATACTTTGTGTTAATGGCAGAAGGATGAAATATACTCGTGGAAGTTATTGTGTCATTTCTGAAAAAAATCCCAGTGAGGTGATGTGTAGTTAATAAGTCCTTTGCCTCTCTGTCTCAAGGTGACAAGAGAAGTTTCCTTGACTGCGGAAGGTTTCATGCCTGAGGATGGAAGTGGTTGCATCGTGGGTATCGAAGATCTTCCAGAACAGGAGTGCGTGTGTGTTGCTACAGCAGCTGGAGACATCCTGCTGTGCAATCTCAGCACGAAGCAGGTAATGTGGCAGGCAAGACACGATACCAAGGGATTTCAAAGAAAAGGATGACACTGTTTTAATTTCTTCAGCGGGTAGTTGTATGTTTATTACTGAGCTGTGCTTAGGCTCCCTTGTCTGGGCAGATGAACTGATTTTTGTGGGAACCTTGATCAGGATTAAGGGCAGAATATATACTCCCTGAAAGAACCCAAATTGAAACCGTGTCTTGCCTGTCCAAAGCAGCATGTGGTAGAAATGCTAATCTCTAGGTATCTGGGCTCTCATACGTAAACATTCTGGAACTGTCTTTTGTTAGAAATGTTTGTTTTGTTTCATTCAACAAAAAGGGTAAAGTAAGACTTGGGACTTTTCTAAGTAGGAGACGATTTCCCTGCCTTGATGACTGATTGCTTTTTTCCTGGGGTGGTGCTGCACTGGCGTTCCTGAAATTTTCTGATCTTATTTTGGTCTTGCAGGTGGAATGTGTTGGAAGTGTGGACAGCGGTCTGAGTACTATGAGCTGGAGTCCTGACCAAGAGCTTGTTTTGCTTGCAACAGGTATCAACAACAGACTGTAAGCTTTCTCCCTTTAGGAGTGAAACTCACTATGTACAAAATGCAAAGATAGAAGAAGTAAAATACAAAGTTATGAAATTGGGACTAAGACTTAAAGACGGAAAAAAACCCCACCTGATCCTATATATGAGATTTCATTTTGTGATACATCCTTTGGTCATCCAAGCAGAAGCTGTTGAGGCCCAAAAAGCTGAGTTTTATAGAATGGTAGTTAGTTTTTCAGATCTTCCAAGGAAGGATATTCATCTTGCCTACTGCTTTATACCAGCATTTGATTTCTTAGTAACAAAAACTGCTTCCTGTCCTTTATTAGGAAATACATGTGTCACAGGCTCAACTTAGCTACAGATGTCTCAGTTAAAAAATAAAATTAGCCTCAAGCAAAATAGAGTCACAAAATGCTGGAGGTTGAAGGGGAACTCTGGAGATCATCTTTTCTAATCCCTTTGCTCAAAGCAGGTTACCTGGAGCAAGGTTTTGGATATCTCCAAGGGTCGAGACCCCACAACCTCTGAGGGCATCCTGTTTCTGTCTGTGACCACCGTCACAGTAAAGAATCGTTGTCGTATCTTTTAATGGAATTTGCTGTATTTTAGTTTGTGCCTGTTGCTTCCTCTGCTGTCACTTGGCACCACTAATAGTCTGTCTTCTTTACTGTACCCCACCTCCTACATAAGATTTTTATATACGCTGATGAGATTCCTCCTGAGCCTTTTCTCCAGAGCAGTCTGAATTCCTTAGCCTCCCTCCATGTGACAGATTCTCCAAGCCCTTAATCAGCGTGTGTGACCCTTCACTTGACTCATGCCAGTATGTCCTTGTCTGTCTTGTACTGGGGAACCCAAAACGGAGCCAGTACTCTACACGTGTCTCACCAATGCTGAGCAAAGGAGATGGATCATCTCCCTTGACGTGCTGGCAGCACTTCTAATACAGCCCGAAATGCTGTTGGTCACCTGTGCAGCAGGGACATACTGCTTGCTTATGTTCAATATGGTGTTGCCCAGGACACACTGGTCATTTTTTTTGCCAAGCTGCTCTCCAGTCATTTGGCTCCCAATCTATCCTAGTGCCTGATACTATTCTTTTCCAGAAGTAGGACATGTTTTTTTGTGGTGTTGAGCATTATGATGTTCCTGACAGCCCATCTCGCCTACCTGACAAAGTCCCCATGGACAGACAGCACAACCTTCGGATGTTCCTGCTACTCTTCCCAGTTTTGTGTCATCTAAGAGTTGCTGAGGGTCCCACTCTCCAGGTCATTAGTAAAGACATTAAACATTTGGCCTAGTGTCCAGGGACATGCCACTGGTGACTGATGTCAAACTGGACTGTTCGCCACTGATAACAACCTTTTGAGGTTGGCAGTTCAGCTGGTTTTCAGTCCAGTTCACTGTCCTTTTATCTGTTCCATCCTTCCTGAGTTTGTCTGTGGCGATGTTATGGGAGACAGTGTCAAAAGCCTTATTAGAATGAAGATAAATGACATCCGCTGGTCTTCCCGTATCCGCAGATAAGTCATCTCAATGTAGAAGGATGGTCAGGTGTGATTCCCTTCATAAATCCATGTCAACTGCTCCCAATCACCACCTTGTCCTTCATGTTTCAAGAGAAAAGATTTTAAAAGTACTAATACTTATTTTGAAGGGCTTACTTTGACAGTGGAAGGAACTTTTTGAGGTTAGTCCAGGAAGCATGTTTTTGAAGATAGAGACTTGAAAGTGTTTTTCTGTTCCAGCTTGAGATTTTCTGCTTTGAAGGATGTGTTGTCTTTAGTATCATAGTACCATTACAATTATTTCTATATTCAAGTCCACGACAGAACAGTAGGACAACACAGTAGAATTTTGGGGTTTTCTTTGCTGGAGATACAGTTACCAATGCTGTATTTAATGCCTACCCCGCAGGTCAGCAAACACTCATCATGATGACAAGGGATTTTGAACCAATTACTGAGAAGCAAATCCACCAAGATGAGTTTGGGGAAGGTAAGAGGTGCACTGAAATGAAGTTGTTCAAACTGAGGTCATTGGTGTGTTATAAGCGTGTAGAAAGTAAAGAAATGGAGCTGAGCACTTACCGAACCCCTGGAGGCATTTTTAGAATATAATGCAGCTGAAGGAGAACACCAATATTTGATTTGTCAGCATTAATTCAAGTAACTTCCCTGTACTAGAGGAGTTCCTGGCCTATGTAAATTTCCTGCAGGTTTTTAGAATTAAACTTGGATAGAAGGTGTGGGTGGCTTGGGCCTGTGGTTTTGTTTACCATGCAGAATAGCAGTGTAAATCTTCCACT